CTTGGCCCAGATGCTGCAGGAGATGTAACATATGGTATATATACTACATAACTTGTCTAAACCCTGAGTCTTGAATTCTGAAACACATCTGGCCTAAAGGGTTTCAGATAAGAGATTGTGTTCATACAGCATTGAAAAACACATTAAGTACCGAGGATTAAATTAACAAAAATGTTCAAACATGTAGAAAGTAGCCAATCTGAAAATATGTGATTAAAACATGTGGCCTATAGACACATGTTTCAAACACTCATGAGAAATTATAAAACTTTTACCAAAAAGTAATAAAGGTCACCTTTAGAAATAGAGAGAGGGTCCAGCCTCTGTGGCACAACAGGTAGCATACTGGACTACAGAGCTGGCTCGGTCCCTGGCCTGGTCAACCTGCAAAAGCACTGGGCGTGCTTGCATGTGCCTAAGATCCCAGCAAGCCCGAGGACTGGAGGAAGGAGATCATGCTGTGCGAACCCAGGGAGGGTGCATCTCTCTTTTTTCAATGTCATGCACGCATACGCACTCTTATGAATAAAAAAGAAATAAATCCTAAAAGTAAAATAAAAATGAAGATGACCAGCTGTGGTGACGTGTAGCACAGCACCGCTGCATGATACTGGAACCACATGAGAAGCTTAGGCGCAAACCCCGAGCTAACCCAAATACACTGGATACAACCACATGTGCCTGTTACCCTAGCTGGCTGAGACACGGAGAAGAGCACAGCAGGCGAGACCCTATCAGAGATACCAGTTTCTGCCTTCCTTCCTACCTGCCTGTCTGTCTGTCTCTCTTCTCTCAATCAAAGACATTTAAAAAATACTTTTTAAAAAAATGGGGAGATGTGCCGCGTTAACTGATTGGACATTTCATGTTGTCAATTCCTTCCAAAATGATCTATAAATGAATGCAATCCCAACTCAAACCCCAACTGGTCTTTTGGCAAAACCTGATGAGTGACTCTAAAATCTGTACGAAAGCTCAAAGGGCCAAGCTAGTACAAATAAAGAACAATGTCTAGATGGGCCTCGCAGCACAGTGGTTAAGGAAGCTGGATCCCATATGGCCAAGTACAGTTTAAACCCTGGCCCTGGTGGCTTTAAAGACCACCAGTCATGTGTATGTGTGTGCCCCAAATCCTGGTTGGGTGGACAAATAGAGGGAAAAGTCCCATTGGGAGACTCACTGTCACACAATCTCTCTCTTTCTCTCTCTCTCATGAGCACATGCTCTCTCTGGCAATTAAAAAAGAGAGAGGGGCTAGCAAGTAGTGCTGTGGTTAAGGTCCTAGACTCCCACATGGCTGACCACAGTTCGAGTCTTGGGTCGGGCAGCTCGAAAAATCACACTGGGCTCGTGTACACGCATGCTCAAAAATCCTAAGAAGAAAATAAAAGAGAAGGGATTGCAGCATGGCCATCCATCCCCCCATCCCCAGGGGCTGGGATGATTTCTCACTTTCTTTCTCTCTGTCTCTCCCCAGAGAGTGCACATACCCTATGGCAAAAACCTAAAATAAAGAAAGAAAGAACAATGAGAAGGAATTGCTATATCAAATATCAAAACTTATTGGAAAACTAAATTAATTAAGACAATATGGTATTTGCAGAAGGATGACAAACCAATAAAAGAGATAAAAGATCCCAGAAACAAATCTACTAATATATGAAAAATTATGACAAAAGCAGCTCTGCAGATAAGGACAAAAAAAGAGGCTACCTTTCCAGTAAACAATGCTAGCACAACAGAGTATTTATACGAAAAAATGACACTAAGCTCTCCTTCGTTCTATATACTTACTCAATTCTAGATAAATTATATATCTCAAAATACTATAAAAAGCTACAATGTATTCTTTAAATATGAAACATAATTGCAAAGAAAAGTAAGGACTATCATAAATATCACAGTAGTACTTATCTCTTGGGGGTGGGGACAAGTAAGAAAGGTATAATAAAAAAGAAGCACACTTGGGTTTCAAGAAACACACTTGGGTTTCCAGACTGCAGGCAATGTTCTTTTATTTATTTTTTATTTTTGGTTTGCTATAGGGCACATGCACTTGCCAGAGAGCGAGAGAGAGAAAGTAAGAAATCACCCCCAAAGGTGAATGGCCACTTTGCAATCCTTTCTCCATTCTCCTCTGGGGACTCTGGGCATACACGCACACTTGCCTGGCATGATTTTCAAGCTGTTCAGTCCAGGACTTGAATAGCAGAGTCAGCCATAGGGGATCCAGTAGCCTTAACCACCACACCACCTAGTGGTCCTTATTATTTATTTATTTAAATTTATTTATTTTATATTCTTTCACTGAACATCATCACAGCTTACAAAATGTGATTTTACATCCAGAATACACTGTATAGTGGTTTAATCATATATGTTATTGTCAACAAATAATTTTCCATTTGTTTCACATATATATATCCCCATTTCTCACCCTCTGCCATTTCCCACCCTCTTCCCACACTGTCTGTGGTATCTGCAGTTGCTTTCCATTCCTTTTCAATTTTTTCCCACATTTTATTGATTCACAAAATATCTTAATTAATCTAAATACTTTCAATAGCAAGTTCGGCTGATGTATACATATTTGTGAACACATGTTGACTTTAGGCATGAAACTCTGTAAGTAGAATGTAAAGTAACACCTAGCTGAGGCTATATAGCTTACTGTGGTCATTAAATAGGTATTTTTAATGTATTTTTTAATTTAAAAAAAGGCAGTTTCAGCTTTAATAAATCAAAATCAAAAATGTTAAGAGAACTTTGCTTAAGACTTAAAGCCAGGAAACAAATTAGGATTCTGTTTGAGTAATAGGTACATGGACTCTTATAAATCACTATGAAAAAAAGAAAGTTGACAACTGTCAATAACTCAAGAGAAGACAAAAATCCTTAACTCTTGAAAACAAAGCAAGATTGGTAATGTTTTAGTCAAAAGTCAGACAATTCTATTTCACCAGTTGAGACTCACGTACTTTATCGTCTGTTGTGGTCTGATCTTTCCGTTTAAATTCTGGAAGATAATGTTCAACTCTGGACTTGTCCCTACCATTAAGCAGCTGGCAATTTTCTTAGCTATTTTTGAACTCTTATTTCTGTGTATCTGACTTTAGTTTTCCTGATATAGTACTCCTTTCAGAACTTCTGGAGAGTTCTCTTTCCCACTATACGAGATGGCAGGTGAAAAAGCTGCGAAGCAGGATACCAAGGAGAAGAAACCCTAAAGCCAAGAAGGCTGATGCCAGTGGCAAGGTTAAAAAGGGTGACCTCAAGGCTAAAAAGCCCAAGAAGGGGAAGCCCCATTGCAGCTGAAACCCCATCCTAGTCCGGGGCACCGGCAGATACTCCTGGTCTGCCATGTATTCCAGGAAGGCCATGTACAAGAAGAAATACTCAGCCACCAAATCCAGGATCGAAAAGAAAAAGGAAAAGGTTCTTGCGACCGTCACAAAACGAGTTGGTGGAGACAAGAATGGTGGTACCCGGGAGGTTAAACTGCGCAAAATGCCTAGGTATTATCCTACTGAAGATGTGCCTCGAAAGCTGTTGAGCCACGGCAAAAAACCCTTCAGTCAGCATGTAAGAGAGCTGCGAGCCAGCATCACTCCTGGGACCATCTGATCATCCTCACTGGACGCCACAGAGGCAAGAGAGTGGTTTTCCTGAAGCAGCTGAGCAGTGGCTTGCTACTTGTAACTGGACCACTGGTTCTCAATAGAGTTCCACCGCGTAGAACACATCAGAAATTTGTCATTGCCACCTCCACAAAAATTGATATTAGCAAAGGAAAAATCCCAAACCACCTTACCGATGCTTACGTCAAGAAAAAGAAACTGCGGAAGCCCAGACACCAGGAAGGTGAGATCTTCGACACAGAGAAGGGGAAATACGAGATTTCAGAGCAGCACAAGGCTGATCAGAAAGCTGTGGACTCGCAAATTTTACCAAAAATCAAAGGTGTTCCTCAGCTTCAAGGCTACCTAAGATCCATGTCTGCCCTCACAAATGGAGTTTTTCCTCACAAATTGGTGTTCTAATTTTTTTTTTTTTGCCAAGAATCTAATTAAATAAGTCAGTTTCTCTCTCTCTCTCTCTCTCTCTCTCTCTCTCTCTCTCTCTATATATATATATATATGAACTTCTTGGAGAACTGGCCTGGTGTCAGTAAATTCTTTCAAGTTTTGTTTATCTGAGAATGTTCTTGTCTTTTCTTCCTATATGAAGGGTAATCTTGCCAGATATAGTATTCTTGGTTGAAATTGTTTTTCACTCAACACTGAGTACATTTTCCCATTCTTTCCTTGCTCACCTTGTTTCCAACGAGAAGTCTGATGTTAGCCTGATGGGCTATCCTTTGTAGGTAACCTGACATTTTTCTCTTGCCAATCTTAGTATCCTGTCTTTGTGGTTTTGGTCAATCTAGCTATAATGTGTCTTGAATAAGATCTTCCTGGGTTGATTCTACTTGTGGTCCTTTGTATTTCTTGGGTCTGGATCTTTGAATGCCCTCTAAGTTTGGAAAATTTTCTTCCAGGATTTCATGGAATAGATTATCAATGCCCTTATTAGTCTCTTCACCTTCTAGAATACCGATTATCTGGATATTGGACATTTAATGGTATCTAGTATTTCTCATATATTATTCTCATCTTGGGGGCTATTTTCTCAGTCTTCACGTGGATTTTTCTAGTCCAGCAATTCTGTCTTCCACATCTGAATTCGATTTTCTGTATGATCTAGTCTCCTTTTAGTATTTTCGAAAGAGATTTTGACTTCCTGTATTATAGCCTTCATCTCTAACAGGTCTATTTGATTTTTTTTTTAATGGTATGTATTTCCTTATTCAGATCCCGCAAGAACTTCCTCACCTCCTGGAACTTGTCGACTCTTTTCTCCTGCCTCTTCTGAAGTTCACTGTCTCTCTTCTCTTGCATCACTATGAATATTCTAAATTCTTTAACAGACATTTCTGTGAGTTCCACTGTACTATCTGTGGATGAAGAGGAGATATTCTTTTCCCTTGGGGAAGAGGTATTTTCTTGGTTTCTCATATTTCTTATGCCTCTGCAGTGATTTCTAGTCACCTGATGGGTTGTTTCTTCCTGATTTCTAAAAAGTTCAATCTGAGTGTTCAGAGGAATGCAGGAGGAGGTGTCTGCAAACTCTGCTGTTCTGCTTTTCTCCAGGGGGCTCTACCAGGGTGAATTCTCCACAGAAAATCTTCATTTTTCTTATTCCCTGAAAGCACTAGGGAGTGCTTTCACTCTCATGGAGAACTCCTACTTAATTTTTTTAAAACAGATGGCAGTTACACGGGAATTTGCTTGATAATGATCTATTTAGAGTACATTTTTATTCCTTGCATTTTTATCTATTTCTATTATTTTTCGAAATTAAAGCATTTCATTTTAAATCATAAGACTATGAAATCATTAGAGCTTAGATTGGAATATATCAATTTACTCATATACATTTATACTAATATGATAAACTGAAGGAACTCTATTTGCTACCTGTGCTATTTTCCCACTACTTTTAGTCCTCTGGTGTGTATGTATGTATGCAAGTATGTATACATAATCGAGAGAAGAGGAGAGCTCAGAAGATAATATTGATAGAATAGTAAGAAATCACAAAATCGCACAAATCATTTTTTAAATTGTCTTATTATAATACTAAAGAAATTTAAGGATGTGGTACTATAAATCTCTAAAAAACAGGCAGCAGATTAATATCTAACATTCACAAAAATTTTACTTCTCTGTATCATGGATTAAATAACTAAAATGCTCTGTTAAATAGTGAACACAAATATTAGTTTCTGTAAGTATTCATCATTCTATCTGCTTTTCTGGACAATCTGTAAAGTAATACATAATTTAAAATTTCTGTTTAATTGTTCTTTCCCATCTTGCTTAACAGAGTCATCTGAGGAATTAGAGGAATTAGTCAAATTACATATGAGTTATTTTTCTCTTTAAAATTCTGCCCAATGTACAGTACAGATAAAATAATATTTTCAGGGACTGGCATGTGGCATGGTGGTTAAGGGCACTGGACTCCTACATGTTCAACTATGGTTCAAGGCCTGGACCTGGCAGCCTGCTTTCTCACTTTCTCTCTCGCTCTTGCTCTGTCCATCTCTGGTCTAAATAAATAAATAATAAGTTAAATAAATAAAGTTAAATAAAATAATTCTTTTTTCACCCGGCGGGAGTTTTAAGCCACCAGGTCTGGGATGCAAACCACCAGCAACATAGCCATTACGCTAACTGCTGATCCCAATAAAATAATTCTTTTTTTTTTTTTGGAGAGATTTTCACTGTAGGGCGCGTGCGCTCGCCAGACAGACAGAGACATAGAGACAGAAAGCGAGAAATCACCCCCCAGGGGGGATGGTCACGCCGCAATCCCTTCTCCTCCATTCTCCTCTCGGGATCTTGGGCACGCACGCACACGCGCCCGGCGTGAGTTTTAAGCCACCGGGTCCGGGACACGAACCGCGGTCGACTACGTGGGAGTCCAGCGACATAGCCATTACGCTAACTGCTGGTTCCCTGAATAAAATAATTCTTTAAAAAATATTTTCAGATTTTAAAAACTGGGGGTTTCTTTTAATAATGTATGTTTATTTATTGATTAAACAGCTACACATTGGACAAGGTACAACAATGCTTGTCCCCACCCTTTCCTATCATGTAGGTCATTTTAATTTTTTTAAATAATTTTTAATTCACATATAATTGTCCATACTTACAGAGTACAGTGTGAATTTTTCAATATATGCATACAATGTATAATGATCAAATAAGGACAAAAAAACATATCCATCATCTGCAACATTTCTCATTACTTTGGGTTGTGAATATTTATATTTCTGTACTTTTTAATCAAAGACCTTTCAGAGACTGCTAGCTTTACTAGTATCTACTTTTTTTACTTCTTCAAGGCATATATCAATACTTTTCACTGTTACTAATTTAAAATTGCCTTAAGTGTCCTGACTATAAAATCATAGCTAAGGTAACTATTGTGAAAGATGACAGAGGGAGTTCCAAATTGGCCAAGAAAATCTGGGGTGTGGGACTCTGCATGTTCAAGAAAAGCTTCTTAAGAGCTCAGGCTGCTCATCTGAGTAGTAAAAGGACATAATGGGTATCTCCAATCTGCACACTGTTAAAGATTTCTTCAACTCCAACTCATAGAGATACAACCAAAGGGATAGAGCTGTGAGAATTAAATGAGCCTATAATAGGACCAGCAGATGGCATAATGGTTATATCACTGGACCCCCACGTAGTCGACCACAGTTTGAGTGCCAGACCTAGTGGTTTAAACTCATGCTGGGTGCACATGGGTGCATGCCCAAAATCCCAAGAGGAAAATGGAGAAGAGATTGCAGTGTGGCCATCTCCCCAGGGGAGTGATTTCTCACTTTGTCTCTCTGTCTTGCTCTATCTCTCCAGTGAGCACATGTATCCTACAGCAAAAATCTCTCTTAAAAAAATAAAATAAAATAAGCCTATAAAATTTCTGGTACAGTGACTGACACACAGTAGATACTGAATAATAATCTTTGATTTCTCAAATGAAACTATAAAATTCTATGGCTATTGCCTCACATATTACTGTTGATTCATCAATTAAAAAAAGAAAAACTTTACAAACAGTATTTCCAAAATCACTAGCTTAGATAAAAGGTATTTCAGAGACAACTTCCCCAAAACAGAATGGTTTAGTTAATGATGTACGAGCCAGCTATTACTAAATTAACATTAGGTAACAAACAACTCGGAAGGCAAATAGATTACAATAATAAATTCCAATTTCTTGCTCAGGAATTTGCAGGGTGGCTGGTCAAGTTGACCTGAAGCACATTGCAAGCCAAATTCAGGTCTCCTTCACATATCTTTCATTCTGAGACCCACTGTGAAGAAAAAGTAATTACTTGGGCAATCTCTTCTTATAGTAAATGGCAAAAGTACAAGAGAGTTGGAAGAAACTTGCCATACTTCCCAAAAACCTCTCTTCAGAAATGGCTGACTGTTCACTTCCATTGCTATTCTGTTCAGTGCTGCAGAGATGTATACTTTACTTCAAGGGATAGGGTGGGGAATGAGTATTTGCTGAGCGATAAATCAATTTACCATAAACTCTAAGAGAAACTCCCAGAACAACTTCACTTGTGTTCAAGAGTGACTAAACAAATATAACCAAGGTGTTGATCAGGTAACACTGCTATCAAATTCTCATGTGACAAAGAGCTAAGAGGAACAGTAAATATGTGAATGACAGAATGAAGACGCAAAAGATAGTCAACATACTGACACAAAGGGCTAAAAAAGTCAAATACCGTGGATACTCAACAGGGTGAAGCCCCTGCTATGGGTTCGGCCCACGGTAGATAAGATCTGATTAAATGGCAAGATATGTAAAAGACTTAGTGGTCTGGGGTTTCAGCTCAATAAAAGCCACTAATACGATACAGTCACTAAAAGGATCCTGCAACTGAGCCTATCTTAACAATAACAACATAATTGTTAACGTAGCTGAGTACCTAGTACATACGAAGTACACAGTAAAGCATTATAGAAAAAAAAAAAACAGTCTGAACCAATCACACCCAAAGAAATACTAAACTGAGTAAACTACAGATTTTTAGGACTGAGAAGACTGGGAATGGGATATAGACCAGTATTAAGAGATAAGGACAAGCATAAACATTGTCTTCAAATTTCTAAAGACTATCATGTACCCAACAAGGCCACATAAATAGGAAGATTTTTGCTCAATGTAAACGGAACTTCCTAAGAAGACACTGAATGTTTTAAGAGACAGTAAAATATTATCACTGAATGAATTCAGGTAGAGGCTGCAAGGCTATATTAGCAGTCGGTAAACTTTTCTATAACGAGCCACAGACAAAATATTTTTGGCTTTGCAGGCCATGAGGTCTCCATGGCAACTACCACTCTGCCACTGTGACAAGAAAGCAGCCATAGACAACATGTCAATAAATGTGTGTGACTGTAGTCCAATAAAATTTTACTTACAAAAACAGGCATTAGGCCAGATGGCCATAGTTTGCCAACCTCTTCTCTATACTAAAAAGAGAGAATGAACGCAAAGAGGGGTGGGCCAGATGCCCATATAAACTTCACAGTATTTCCACTTCCAAAGCTCCATGAAAACATAAAACATGAGCCAGCCGGTGGCATGGAGGTTAAGGCAGCTGGATCCCACATAGCCAACTTCATAGTCTGAGTCCCAGATTTGGAGATCTGAAAATCACATTAGACACATGTATGTGCATGCCCAAAATCCCAGGAGGAGAATGGAGAAGGGACTGCAGTGTGGCCATCCCCGCAGGGGGTGATTTCTCACTTTCTCTCTCTTGTCTCTCTCTGGCAAGTGCATGCACTCTACAGCAAACTAAATATTTAAATAATAATAATAATAATAATAATACATCATATTAAAGTAATTCAATGATTTACAGAAAGAGGTGAAAAAGGAACCTATTTAGAGCTATATGAGTATGATGAATATGTACATTATAAATCACAAAGAAAACTGTCAGAAACATATGGAATGGGTTGCCCTAATTAAAACAGATGAGGGGTTGCTGCTGAACATATAAGACTTTCATGGGAGGACAATGGAGTGGTTATAAAACAGACATGGGCACCCAGGTATCATCATGATTTTTCTGTATCAGGAGAACGAGTAAGGCAGTATTAATTAAGACTACTGTTCTTAAACGAGACCTTACATATCTATCTCGGGAAATAATGGGAACATCTGTAAATTACCTACTTAAGATCCCTTTATACTTGTTGAATTTTATGCCTCCATTCACAGATACAGGAAAATTTTCTTCTATCAAATCTCAAAGCAAATAAAAGCTACAACTGAGTTTTACCAAAGACCCAGAATGTCTACTTTAGGAAAAGTAACAAAAGGTTCACAAGACCCTTTTCCCTTGTTACAATGACCCACTAGTCACTAAGTCAGAAAAGAGGTCTTCTAACTGTTTTGTTATTGGTCCACAAAAGGTAAGTACGGACATTGAGAGTAAACATTCAGAAATTTTTATAAGCAATTTGACATTGGTTAGTCGGCTGTAATGCAACTGTAAATCAGTCTGAGAAGAGGTAAGCATTTATTTTCATAATTTGTCATCTCGCAATCATTTAAATTTAACCAAGCCTATGATTTATCATTTAATAGCTTTCACTAAACAGAGGTAAATAGGTATTTTAACTCTAATTTACAGATAGCAAAAAGCTTAACTACCTTTCTTTGGGGAAAAAAAAAGATACAACTTATCTGAATGAGGCAGCAGTTGTAAACCAAACAATAACAGAGGAAGTGATTTCAAAGAAATGAAAGTCAAGGAGTTCATATAATTTTATGTGAAGGTATGATTGACAGTGAAGTGCTGAAACCAATGTGTTATTCCCAGAAATATACTGGCTAGGAAACACTAAAGCCATCAAAACCTAAGAAGCATTTATATGAAAGGGTAAAGAGGTTCAAAACAAAGCAAAAAAGATTTATTTGAAACAAGGAATATTTCATTACAAAGCCAATAAAGGCAGATGTTCATTATTTCCTATATAAATACTAGTGTTTCCAAGGCTTTGTACGTAGTCCTTCAGGTGATAAAATTAAAAGAAACACACACACACACACACATTTCTGAGTCTATAAACTGAGTGTTAAAACACAGGGACAGTTTACATACACATTAATTCTTGTGCATAGCACTGCCATCAATCCAACCTAGATTAGATAAGTTAATATTAAGAAGCAAATTTATGACACGGTAAAAATTTTAAACACTCACACAGACAGTGTTTGTTTAGAGTATGTTATAAGCATTTTCTTTTTAATTTAACAGAGGCATGTGCACTTGTAGGGGTAGGGGAGGACGGGGGGAGGGAGAGAGACTGGGGTGAGGGGAGAGAGAGAACATGAGAAAGCGGCTCCCATAGGGAATGCCCATGCAGCAATCCCTCCTCCTCTCTCTCTCTCTCCTGTTGGGATTCTGGGTGCACGCACGCATGCACACACACACACACACACACACACACCTAGTGTATTTCTCAAGCCACTGGGTCTGGGACTTGAACCAGGCAACTGGCCATGTGGGATCCAGCTATGTTAACCACTAGACCATGAGCTGGCTATATTATCCTCATAATAAAGACAAATGAATAAAGACTTTATTTTGCAGCAACTGCTTCTTTCAGATTATATAAATCCTAGAATACATGCCCTCCTTTATCACTCTAAAGCTTACTATACACATTATCAAATAAAACTATCCATGCATACTATTTTTTCCATCCATCTTTTTGTTTTAGTTTGCCACAGGGTGCTTGCATTCGCCAGAAAAAAAAGAGAAAGAGT